CTCCTGGAGCTCAGGTTTTCCAGAAATCCATATGAATAAGGATTAAAAAAAACACATCAACAATAAGTCCCTCCTCCATTTCCCCTCACCTCCTTCCTCCTACCTCACCCCCTCCCTCCTTCACTTTTTGCTCAGATAGGGTTTTCTCCTGGAGCTCAGGTTTTCCAGAAATCCATATTAATAAGGATTAAAAAAAACACATCAACAATAAGTCCCTCCTCCATTTCCCTCACCTCACTCCACCCTCCAAAGCGTCTTTGAATTCAAGAAAAGCGCTATATAAATGTAATGTATTGTTGGATCTTCCCCCGCATACAGTGTTCCTGAAGTGCAAGTCGAAACAACATTTCAGAAAACACTACAGCATTTCACATTTTACAGAACGGGTATTCCTTTAAGGAGAACACTTGTTGTTTGTGATTGGACAGAGCCAGCCAGAGAAGCACTGCTGTGATTGGCTGTTTTTGCTGCCAGTTAAGAAATGACGCTTCGTGATTGGTCAGCACCCGGCCGACAGCACCACGTACTTCCTGTTTGGTACTGGTCAGCTGTTTCTTCACGAATTGTAAACTGAGTTGGAAAGAATGGAAGAAGAGATGAACGAAGGATATACATACGATGTTATCCTCGACATGCTGTCAACCCATCACGACATCTACATGTCCCTTAGAACCAGGGGTGTAGTGCTTGTGACTACCCCATTTGCATCTTTGCCCGATTTGCATTGCGCAAGCGCGAGATGGTCCGCCATATTGGACAGCTACATACGGCAACCCAAATAGGACACTTGACAGTGGCGTTTGGCAAAGCAGAAAAAGATTACTAAAAAAACCTGACAACATTAATCTCAATGATATATATATAATTCCAAAGCTGGTAAAGACTTTTAAAATTTAGCAATAATTGTAATATAGGAAAACTACTGATCTAACAGAGATGTGTTCTTGAATCAACTTTTTTTTTTTTTTTAAATGGAAAATCTTTTATGTAATTGTATTTAATTTGAAATAAAATGTTAACATTCATAGTTAATGTAATTACATATAAATTATTAATGCCAAACAGTTTTGCATACATTCACAGTAAATATTTCTTCAGTATGATAACTGTCTAACAGAAGATAAATCAATTTCTCACTTATTCTAAGAATGTAATCAACCCAATAAAAGTATTTGTTAAATAATAGTGAAGTCACGTTGTAATAACAATAACTCTCTCTCTCGTTCAGATTAATGTTGTCAGGTTTTTGTTTTTTTAAATGTCTGCTTCGCGAAACAAATGTCCTATTTGGGTTGCCGTATGTAGCTGTCCAATATGGTGAACCATCTTGCGCTTGCGCAATGCAAATCGGGCAGAGATGCAAATCAGGTAGTCACAGCTGCCGGAGCACTGCTTTACCGGTTGTTAACATCTGGTTAGCTAGCTATGCTAACGTACATAAGCAGTTGTTTCTACAACAAGGTGGAGGAGAGTCCTCTCCTGTCAGACTGAGAGGATCTTATAACTACAGCTCAGTGAGCTAAAGGACTCTCTGAGTGTTTAGATAGATAACTTTAGTCTAAGCTATCTCAGTGGGTCTCAAACGGTTTGGTCACCATTTATGTAAACAAGTATTTCCAAAGCACACCTTTTTATTATCATTATAAAAAATAAGAGAATAAATAGGTATGAAATAATTCCAACTCATTCTATAGGACAGTAAAACTAAAATACAGTTTAAAAGGGGAGTGATTAGTAAGATATGCTTAAAGAAAAAGTACTTCTGGTTACAGTACTGTTTCACATGGGTGTTGTTGAGAGATGTATCCATAGATTTAGTCCCTAACTTTGCTCTCAAAGTGCACCAGATTGAATTTAACTTCAACTTTTAAAAAACCATCTTCCCGGGGGAGCATGCCCCCGGACCCCCCCTAGAGGATGTGAGGTCCACCACCCACTAACAAAAGGGTCACATGGACAGGATTCTAAATACATTTGCACACTTTTGATATAGTAACCTATGTCCATATGTTGCTGTTTTGTTGGTGCGCTCCTGCAATTATAAAAATAGCACTACACCCCTGCTTAGAACCCTGAAAGCGCGGTTTAAAGAGTTAGGACTGAGGACACCTCACTGACTTTATTTATTTGATCCTTTTATGTTTAAAGTGTGCTATATAAATCAAATGTATTATTATTATTATTACTGAGCTGTAGTTATAAGATCCTCTCAGTCTGACAGGAGAGGACTCTCCTCCATCTTGTTGTAGAAACAACTCCTTATGTACGTTGGCATAGCTAGCTAACCAGATGCTAACAACCGGAGCGGCGATCCGGCAGCACTACACCCCTGGTTCTAAGGGACATGTAGATGTCGTGATGGGTTGACAGCATGTCGAGGATAACATCGTATGTATATCCTTCGTTCATCTCTTCTTCCATTCTTTCCAACTCAGTTTACAATTTGTGAAGAAACAGCTGAACAGTACCAAACAGGAAGTACGTGGTGCTGTCGGCCGGGTGCTGACCAATCACGAAGCATCATTTCTTGACTGGCAGCAAAAACAACCAATCACAGCAGTTCTTCTCTGGCTGGCTCTGTCCAATCACAAACAAGAAGTGTTCTCCTTAAAGGAATACCCTTTCCGTAAAATGTGAAATGTTGAAGTGTTTTGTGAAATGTTGTTTTGACTTGCACTTCAGGGCCACCGTACCCCGCTTCCACTTTTGGGTTTTCTCCTGGAGCTCAGGTTCGCCCGCAACTAATTTTCCTGATACAATTAGGATTAGAAAGATTTGATTTAAAAATAAAATAAAAATTCAAATCTATTTTTGTACGCGTGTGCCTCACTGTGTAAACATATACAGTATACATGATTTACTGTATCACATTTTGGTTACTAAAGTAATTATTCATTGTATGTTTAATCAACACTTTCATAAATAAAACAACCCATGGTATGAAATATAAAATTGTGTTTTTATATTTGTCTCACTGTACACATTCAATTCCATTATATATGTTTACATTTTTTAAATGTGTTCATACAAGCTGGTCAAATATTCTGGGACTGTAATACTCAGAATGTGTAGGTGAAGAGCGGAACATGTAATTGTATTGACTGAAACATGGTGCCACTCACCTCAATAGAGTCAAATAAAAACTGAAAATGTATATATGCCTTATATGATGTGCTTTTAATTCAACAACACAAACATTTAAAACCTCACTTAAATAGAAATGCGTAATTATTATCTGCAAAACTTTGGTAAAAAATCCTCGCTGTCAGGGTTTCACTAACAAATAGTTTATTTATCTTGAGAAGTAGGAAGATTTCTAAACCCATTAACGGACACAAGTTAATGAAAACTCACATTTAAAATCACCTAATTATGGTATGGATGGGGTTAAGGTTAGGGTTAGTACAAAGTGTACAGTATATCTAAAAGAAGTCACTAAAGCGGTAAGAAAAACGTAACTGAGTAAAAAGTAAAATATTGACCTGTGAGATGAAGTGATTTAGAAAAGTATAAAGATGAATAAGATGGAAAAACTTAAGTACTTTTATTTTCTACTTAAGTTGATCACTTAGGGAACACTGGAAAATATGATATTATAATATTATGATTAATAGCCAAGGCTCTAGATTACAAAGTGTTTATAATACAGTACATTATTGTATGCTGTCACGGCTGTGGGATTACATACGGTGGGTTTAAAGGGGACGTTAAGTCTCTGAGTGCCTCTATTATGGCTACACAGTTTATCAAAGACAATTATGACTGTTTCTGATCTCCATAAACTCTTTGGGGGACATGCCATTCATGTTACAGAGCTTGGACTTCATCATGATTGACACCAAACGTAAAGACTGTCGACACCATTGGTGTCACAGCAATATCGTGTTTCGGCCCCTCAGATTTGGAGATGAGCTGTTCGGGGCCGAAGCATTAACCATCATGTGACGTTTGGGCCGTTTGGAGCCTGTCAGCTGGCGCTAGGAGATAATCACCTTCCATGGAAAGGGATCACATAGCCATGAGGCGAGAGTCAAAATGGGCGCCACTAACTTTTCATCTGCCAGGTCTTGAGATGCTACTGTCAAGATTTGAAGACGATTGGATAAAATTCCTAGGAGGAGTTTGTTGTTAAAGTACGGTGCACTTTTCTGTCCCCAGAGTCAGAACCAAACATGGAGGAGTTCAGTTATTATGCTCCAAATATCTGGAACAAACTCCCAGAAACCTGCAGGTCCGCTGCAACTCTGACTACTTTTAAATCCAGGATGAAGACTTTTCTTTTTGACGCTGCTTATAATTGAACTATTCATATCTTACACTGCACTGTAACTTGTATCCATGTATTTAATATCTGTGTTATTCTATATTAGCTTGTTTTGTTTTTTGGAGGGCGCTTTGAATTGCCTTGTGTTGAAAGGTGCTTTATAAATAAACTTGCCTTGCTGGAAAAACCCTCCACACAACAACACACAGTCCACGCTAAATACACATATTATGGGACATTAAAAAAGTTACTTTAGTTAAAAAGTACTATCTTCAGTGGTAAAAATGTATTTATATTCATTTTCTCACATCTAGTATAGAAACTTTTTGAGTTTGCATCTTCATGGTTACATGCACTTATTGTTATTTAAATGGATAAAGGCATCAGCAAAGTGTAATGGGAACATATGTACCATTCTGTGAGAGAGTCTGAAGGCATCTGCACGCCTGCATCGACTTCTAAACAACAACAAAACACCATTTATAAAAATTTTGCAGTAGCAGGAATATAGGCTTATAATATACTGTATATACATATGATAGTATATCATTTACAGATATACATAAGACTTGCCAATTGTAATCAGGAAGGAGGTGTATTTTGCGGTGCTTTACAGTCCGCTCATCGGACTCCATAGTCGGCCTTATTCACAGCAGCAGCACCCTCCTGTACCGGATGTTCTCATGGCCCTGGTAACCTATAAGGGGGTGTATTTTGCGGTGCTTTACAACGTTACCTTTTGCACGGAGGAGGAGGCGAGCGTCAGCAGGGACTTCAACAGGAAGTGACTCCCGATGCTCAGCAGCTTCCGGTGGAGCTCCCGAGCAGAAGAGATGTTGCAGAGGGCGGAGCAGCTGTAGAACTGGACCTCTGAGTCTGAGCCCTGCAGCAGCAGAACCAGAACCGGGAACCCCCCCGCATCACCCAGCAGCCTCCTGGACCAATCTGGAGAAAGAGAGAGAGAGGAGCAACAACAGAAAAACACATCTGCTTTTGTTAAATCTGTGAGGATTAAAAGGTCACCTATTATGCAAAATCCTCTTCTTCATGTCTCTTCTTCATCAACATGTGGTCCCTCTTCCATGTCTCTTCATCAACATGTGTCCCCTCTTCTTCATGTCTCTTCTTACATCAACATGTGTCCCCTCTTCTTCATGTCTCTTCTACATCAACATGTGTCCCCTCTTCTTCATGTCTCTTCTACATCAACATGTGTCCCCTCTTCTTCATGTCTCTTCTACATCAACATGTGTCCCCTCTTCTTCATGTCTCTTCTACATCAACATGTGTCCCCTCTTCTTCATGTCTCTTCTACATCAACATGTGTCCCCCTCTTCTTCATGTCTCTTCTACATCAACATGTGTCCCCTCTTCTTCATGTCTCTTCTACATCAACATGTGTCCCCTCTTCTTCATGTCTCTTCTACATCAACATGTGTCCCCTCTTCTTCATGTCTCTTCTACATCAACATGTGTCCCCTCTTCTTCATGTCTCTTCTACATCAACATGTGTCCCCTCTTCTTCATGTCTCTTCTACATCAACATGTGTCCCCTCTTCTTCATGTCTCTCCTACATCAACATGTGTCCCCTCTTCTTCATGTCCTCTTCTACAATCAACATGTGTCCCCTCTTCTTCATGTCTCTTCTTCATCAACATGTGTCCCCTCTTCTCCATGTCTCTTCTACATCAACATGTGTCCCCTCTTCTTCATGTCTCTTCTCCATCAACATGTGTCCCCTCTTCTTCATGTCTCTTCTACATCAACAGTGTCCCCTCTTCTTCATGTCTCTTCTACATCAACATGTGTCCCCTCTTCTTCATGTCTCTTCTACATCAACATGTGTTCCCCTCTTCTTTCATGTCTCTCCTACATCAACATGTGTCCCCTCTTCTTCATGTCTCTTCTTCATCAACATGTGTCCCCTCTTCTCCATGTCTCTTCTACATCAACATGTGTCCCCTCTTCTTCATGTCTCTTCCACATCAACATGTGTCCCTCTTTCTTCATGTCTCTTCTACATCAACATGTGTCCCCTCTTCTCCATGTCTCTTCTACATCAACATGTGTCCCCTCTTCTTCATGTCTCTCTTCTACATCACATGTGTCCCCTCTTCTTCCATGTCTCTTCTACATCACATGTGTCCCCTCTTCTTCATGTCTCTTCTACATCAACATGTGTCCCCTCTTCTTCATGTCTCTTCTACATCAACATGTGTCCCCCTCTATCTACTCTTCTTCATGTCTCTTCTACATCAACATTGTGTCCCCTCTTCTTCATGTCTCCTCTACATCAACATGTGTCCCCTCTTCTTCATGTCTCTTCTACATCAACATTTTCCCCCTCTTCTTCATGTCTCTTCTACATCAACATGTGTCCCCTCTTCTTCATGTCTCTTCTACATCAACATGTGTCCCCCTCTTCTTCATGTCTCTTCTACATCAACATGTGTTCCCCTCTTCTCATGTCTCTTCTACATCAACATGTGGTCCCCTCTTCTTCATGCTCTTCTTCTACATCAACATGTGGTCCTCCTCTTCTTCATGTCTCTTCTACATCAACATGTGTCCCCTCTTCTTCATGTCTCTTCTACATCACATGTTGGTCCCCTCTTCTTCATGTCTCGTATCTACATCAACATGTGTCCCCATCTTCTTCATGTCCTCTTCTACATCAACATGTGTCCCCTCTTCTTCATGTCTCTTCTACATCAACATGTGTCCCCTCTTCTTCATGTCTCTTCTACATCAACATGTGTCCCATCCCCTCTTCTTCATTCTTCATGTCTATCTTCTACATCAAACAATGTGTCCCGTCTATCCCCTCCTTCCTTCATGTCTCTTCTACCATCAACATGTGTCCCCTCTTCTCTTCATGTCTCTTCTACAATCAACATGTGGTCCCCCCTCTTCTTCATGTCCTCTTCTACATCAACATGTGTCCCCTCTTCATTCTCTTCTACATCAACATGTGTCTCTTCTATCCTTCTCTCTACATCAACATGTGTCCCCTCTTCTTCATGTCTCTTCTACATCAACATGTGTCCCCTCTTCTTCATGTCTCTTCTACATCAACATGTGTCCCCTCTTCTCCATGTCTCTTCTACATCAGCATGTGTCCCCTCTTCTTCATGTCTCTTCTACATCAACATGTGTCCCCTCTTCTTCATGTCTCTTCTACATCAACATGTGTCCCCTCTTCTTCATGTCTCTTCTACATCAGCATGTGTCCCCTCTTCTTCATGTCTCTTCTACATCAACATGTGTCCCCTCTTCTCCATGTCTCTTCTACATCAGCATGTGTCCCCTCTTCTTCATGTCTCTTCCTACATCAACATGTGTCCCCTCTTCTTCAGTCTCTTCTACATCAACATGTGTCCCCTCTTCTTCATGTCTCTTCTACATCAACATGTGTCCCCTCTTCTTCATGTCTCTTCTACATCAACATGTGTCCCCTCTGTGGAAAGAGACTCTGAAAGTTTCAGGAACAAAGATTCTCTCTCTTTTTGATCCATTTCTATAAAAACCTGTCTGAAAATGAGCTGATCAGATTTTGGCCACTTTGTGATGTCATAACGATGTTTGGTCTTGTGTAACCATTAGCCAATCAGCAACCAAGGTACCCCCCCCCCTTATCACCTGAATCTCCTCTAGAGCTCCATTGAGTTCTTTGTAACCAAATGTCTCTCAGAGGGGCGTGGGGAGGGGCTCCTTATTTTCATCTGAAGTAACAGACAGAGAATCAGCACTTTTGAAACAGGGCTGAAACAGAGGGGATTATGGGTAATGCTACAATGATCTGTTTGGTGTTTCAGCCAATCAGAGACAGGCTCTGTATATATCTGAGACCTATAATATATTGATGAAAAACAGTATAATAGGGGACCTTTAAAGGAAGTGACCCACCTGAGTGTGTGAGGTGCAGCAGAGCCCAGGAGGCCACCTGCTGCTCTCGAGAGTCGTAGGATTTGGCTAAAGCCAGCAGAGGCTTCACTCCCTCCAACATTACAGCCTCTCTGTTCGACTCTGCACCAAAAAACATGTGAAACTTTCAAAAGTCAAAGTGAACTTTATTGTCAATCTTTCAGTTTGTGTGTACAGACAGAGAGATTGAAATACTGCTTCCCACAATAAAGATATCTGTACAAATATGTAACAGCCAGACACCGAGAGAATAATAATTATTAAACCATTTAAAGACCTTAAATCCTTCTGCACCCACCTGAGGAGGCGAGGAGGACGACGCAGGCGCAGGAGTGGCTCTGAGCGCTGGAGTCTCCGGACCGGATCAGATCCAGGAGCGGAACCAGCATCCCCATCTCAACCACAGAGGCTCTGCACACTGACACCAGAGTTAGTGCACGGTTATTATGACCCTATTCATCGGGTCGATTTAAGATGTGATTGTGGAAAACAATTAGATTTAAAACAGCAATATTAAAAACATGATTCCATGAGGGGGACATCTCTAAGATGTTGACCAATAACAACAGAGCCAGCCAGCTAACCAATCAGAGACAGACATGTCACGGTAGAGACACTACATACTGATATACACCTGAACATCAGCAGGAGAGGACTCTTTAAAGTAGAGACACTACATACTGATATACACCTGAACATCAGCAGGAGAGGACTCTTTAAAGTAGAGACACTACATACTGATATACACCTGAACATCAGCAGGAGAGGACTCTTTAAAGTAGAGACACTACATACTGATATACACCTGAAAATCAGCAGGAGAGGACTCTTTAAAGTAGAGACACTACATACTGATATACACTGAACATCTGAAATGTGAAAGTGCTTCGTTAATAGTTCTAACGCTCGAAGTGGAGTCGAAAGAGATGAGTTTTCAGTCTGGAAGATGTGTAAGCTATCTGCTGTCCTGATGTCAATGGGGAGCTCATTCCACCATCTTGGAGCCAGGATAGCAAACCCACGTGTTTTCGCCGATGGGAACTTGGGTCCCCCTTGCAGCGAGGGTGCAGCGAGTCGTTTGGCTGATGCAGAGCGTAGTGCACGCGCTGGGGTGTACGGTTTAACCATGTCCTGGATGTACGAAGGGCCAGATCCATTCGCAGCATGGTAAGCAAGTACCAGTGTCTTGAAGTGGATTCTAGCAGTTACCGGAAGCCAGTGAAGGGAGCGGAGGAGCGGAGTGGTGTGGGAACATTTAGGAAGGTTGAAGACCAGACGAGCCGCTGCATTCTGGATGAGAGAGGTCGGATGGCACATGCAGGTAGACCAGCCAGGAGGGAGTTGCAGTAGTCTAGGCGTGAGATGACGAGAGCCTGGACCAGAACCTGAGTCGCTTTCTGAGTCAGCTGGGGACGTATCTTCCTGATGTTGTAAAGCGTGTATCTGCAGCAACGGGTTGTAGCAGCGATGTTTGCAGTGAAGGACAGGTTGTTATCTAGGGTCACACCCAGATTCCTTGCAGTCTGAATCGGGGAAACAACTGAGGTGCCGATGTTGATAGTCAGGTCAAGAGTTGGACAATCTTTTCCCGGGAGGAAGAGCAGCTCAGTCTTGTCAAGGTTGAGCTTGAGGTGGTGAGCAGACATCCACTGAGAGATGTCAGCTAGACAAGCAGAGATGCGTGCGACGACCTGGGTCTCTGAGCGGGGAAAGGACAGAATTAATTGGGTGTCGTCAGCGTAGCAGTGGTAAGAAAAACCATGCGGGCTAATGACTGATCCGAGCGAGTTTGTGTACAGGGAGAAGAGGAGGGGACCAAGAACAGAGCCCTGAGGGACCCCCGTAGTTAATTGACAAGGGTCGGACTCAGACCCTCTCCAAGTCACCCTGTAGGTACGGTCTTTCAGGTATGAGGTGAGGAGGGAAAGTGCAGAGCCTGAAACTCCAAGTTTTTGGAGAGTGCGAAGGAGGATCTGATGATTCACCGTGTCGAATGCAGCAGACAGGTCCAACAGGATGATGACAGAGGAGAGGGATGCAGTTTTGGCAGTGTGCAGTTCCTCCGTGACAGCAATGAGAGCAGTTTCTGTGGAGTGACCTGCCTTGAAACCAGACTGGTGCAGATCCAGAAGGTTGTTCTGATGGAGATAACAGGAGAGTTGTTTAAAGACAGCGCGTTCAAGTGTTTTAGACAGGAACGGGAGGAGAGAGACAGGCCTGTAGTTTATAACATCAGACGGGTTGAGAGTGGGTTTCTTTAGGAGAGGGTTTACTCTTGCCTCCTTGAGACTGTTTGGAAAGTGACCAGAAGTTAGAGAAGTGTTGATGAAATGGGTGAGAAACGGTAGAATATCAGGAGCGATAGTCTGAAGGAGGTTTGAAGGGATAGGGTCCAGAGGACAGGTGGTAGGGCGGGCAGAGGTAATGAGGGTAAGAACCTCACTTGGAGAGAGAGAGGGAAAGGAGGTAAGTGTGTTGGTGGAAGGAGGGTCTGGTGACCCAGAGGTGAGTAGAGGTGAGTCAGAAAAAGAAGAGCGAATATCATCAACCTTTTTTTCAAAGTGGGTAACAAAGTCGCTTGACTGAAGTGAGGAGGGGGGAGGGGCTTTTGGAGGGTCCAAGAGGGTGGAGAAGATGGAAAATAGTTTTTTAGGATTGGAATAGGAAGATTGGATCTTATCTTGAAAGAAAGTGCTTTTTGCCTGAGAGATCGAAGCAGAGAAAGAGGAGAGGAGAGCTTGATAGGTTAGGAGGTCGTCACGGTGTTTGGATTTCCACCATTTCCGCTCTGCTGCCCTAAGGACGGTTCTATTAGCACGCAGTGCATCATTTAGCCAGGGAGCCGGAGGGGACTGACGAGCCTGCCGAGATGTGAGAGGACAGAGAGAGTCCAGAGAGGATGAGAGAGTAGAGAGGAGAGTTTCTGCAGCAGAGTTTGGAGGCAGTAGTTGGAACGAATCAGAGGAAGGGATGGCTGAGAGCACCGACGAGGCAAAGGTAGAGGGGGAGAGGGAGCGAAGGTTACGGCGGACAAGTGCAGGATGAGAAGAGATTAGTTTGTTATGTTTGGAAAGGGATAGAGAGAATGAAATGAAGAAGTGATCGGATGTGTGGAGCGGGTTTACAGAGGTTAGAAGTAGCGCAGTTCCTTGAGAATATGAGATCAAGGACATTGCCAGCTTTATGAGTCGGTGGGGACGGAGACAGTGAGAAAGCAAAGGCGGTTAACAGAGATGTTAGTTCGTCTATCTTCCCCATCTGGAGGTTGAAGTCTCAGAGAAGTACAGCGGGAGGGCCAGTTTCAGGGATGTGTGAGAGGAGATGATCTAATTCCTCCAAGAAGTCCCCCAAGGCGCCTGGTGGACGGTAGAGAACAACAATGGTTAACTGTATAGGATGGGTTACTGTGACGGCATGGAATTCAAAGGTGGAAGGAGTGAAGTTAGGTAGCTTGAAGAGGGAAAAGCTCCATTTGGGAGAGAGCAGGAGACCAGTGCCACCTCCTCTGCCAGTGGGTCTGGGTGTATGGGAGAAGGAATATGCTGTGGAGAGAGCTGCTGGGGTGGATGTGTTGGATGGAGTAATCCAGGTCTCAGTGAGAGCAAGGAAATCCAGAGACTGCAGGGAGGCGTAGCCAGAGATGAAGTCAGCCTTAGGAACAGCTGACTGGCAGTTCCACAGGCCACCTGAAACTAGATGTTGGATCTCAGTGGAGCATGTGGGATAGACGAGAGCAGGCCGGTTATATCGATTACGAAATACACGGGGCCAGTGATAATTGCGAGAAGACACATGAACAGGAATGGAGAAAATACACATGATTATAGCATGAGGGGCTAAACAACAAAATGAAAAAATAAAAACACCAACGATACTTAGCTCAATCAAAGTAGGATTTGCCTCCTCTTTGCCTCCCTCGTGACTCCTGTAGGACTCTAATGTCTTTGCCAGTCTTAGAGACTCCCGCAGGACTCTAATGTCTTTGCCAGTCTTAGAGACTCCCGTAGGACTCTAATGTCTTTGCCAGTCTTCGGCTGTCTGCCGCTGAAGCTGACGCTCCAGGAAAGTGATACCTAAAATGGACGCCTGATAGCTCAGTTCTCACAGCTGTAGGAGCACGCCCCTCTAATTAGTTAACTATCTACAGCTGATGGGCGACAATAGACTGGCCCTGCCTATATTATTAATGCAGGCTTGAGTGCTGAGAGCTGTAAAGCAGGTTTCGCCTGAGCAGATCTGAGATTTAAAATCTCTCAAAAGCGATTTAGCCGTTTAAGCTACAATAACAATTATACAGAGTCGAATAAATGAAACCGAGAAGTCTAATTAAACAAGAATATAACTTACAGTGGTTGCTGCGTCAATAGGTAATGTTGTCACCGGGTCCAGATGCACACCTGAACATCAGCAAGAGAGGACTCTTTAAAGTAGAGACACTACATACTGATATACACCTGAACATCAGCAGGAGAGGACTCTTTAAAGTAGAGACACTACATACTGATATACACCTGAACATCAGCAAGAGAGGACTCTTTAAAGTAGAGACACTACATACTGATATACACCTGAACATCAGCAGGAGAGGACTCTTTAAAGTAGAGACACTACATACTGATATACACCTGAACATCAGCAAGAGAGGACTCTTTAAAGTAGAGACACTACATACTGATATACACCTGAACATCAGCAGGAGAGGACTCTTTAAAGTAGAGACACTACATACTGATATACACCTGAACATCAGCAGGAGAGGACTCTTTAAAGTAGAGACAATACATACTGATATACACCTGAACATCAGCAAGAGAGGACTCTTTAAAGTAGAGACACTACATACTGATATACACCTGAACATCAGCAGGAGATGACTCTTTAAAGACGAGACAATACATACTGATATACACCTGAACATCAGCAGGAGAGGACTCTTTAAAGTAGAGACAATACATACTGATATACACCTGAACATCAGCAGGAGAGGACTCTTTAAAGTAGAGACACTACATACTGATATACACCTGAACATCAGCAGGAGAGGACTCTTTAAAGTAGAGACACTACATACTGATACACACCTGAACATCAGCAGGAGAGGACTCTTTAAAGGAGAGACACTACATACTGATATACACCTGAACATCAGCAGGAGAGGACTCTTTAAAGTAGAGACACTACATACTGATATACACCTGAACATCAGCAGGAGAGGACTCTTTAAAGTAGAGACAATACATACTGATATACACCTGAACATCAGCAGGAGAGGACTCTTTAAAGTAGAGACACTACATACTGATATACACCTGAACATCAGCAGGAGAGGACTCTTTAAAGTAGAGAAACTACATACTGATATACACCTGAAAATCAGCAGGAGAGGACTCTTTAAAGTAGAGACAATACATACTGATATACACCTGAATATCAGCAGGAGAGGACTCTTTAAAGTAGAGAAACTACATACTGATATACACCTGAACATCAGCAGGAGAGGACTCTTTAAAGTAGAGACACTACATACTGATATACACCTGAACATCAGCAGGAGAGGACTCTTTAAAGTAGAGACACTACATACTGATATACATCTGAACATCAGCAGGAGAGGACTCTTTAAAGTAGAGACACTACATACTGATATACACCTGAACATCAGCAGGAGAGAACTCTTTAAAGTAGAGACACTACATACTGATATACATCTGAACATCAGCAGGAGAGGACTCTTTCAAGTAGAGAGGACTTTTTAAAACACCTTGTGATTTCGTATCTCTCACCGTTGTTCTTCACTAACAGATTGACTAAAGACAGAGAGATGGTCTTCTGAACATCCAGGTCAGATGATAGCAGTAAGTTCATGACCGGCTCCAACAATGCGTCTGGGAGAGGAGAGTTCACTGAAACACACAGAGCAGGAAACACTGGTTATTGTGGGTGAAGAAGCAGCGCTTTGGGATAGTAGTGCTGTGAATAACGGCACTTAAGCCACACATGCAGAGAATTATCTGCCAACCCTAGAAAGAAAATTACAGTTGATCATTTGCATAATAACCGTGCTGTCCGTTAGAGCTTATCTCTACAGACGAGAGCAAACACACGTCTCATTACCTGCTCCACTTATCTGTAAACCATTGCTATAAAGAAGAAGATAGTGAAGCAACATACAAATCTGTTTGGATTCTTTACTCACAGTGATGACTGAGCTGTAGATAAAACATGGCCGCTGTCTTCTGCAGCTCAATGTCCTCTGAAGCTGAGAGTCGGCTCAGAGTCTGAAGACTTTCCTCTTCATGGAGCTGAAGTTCCTCATCTGTAGGAAGAGAGGAGGGACAAGTACTCAGATCTAGTACTTGAGTACAAGTAGAAGTACTCAGATCTAGTACTTGAGTAAAAGTAGAAGTACTCAGATCTAGTACTTGAGTAAAAGTAGAAGTACTCAGATCTAGTACTTGAGTAAAAGTAGAAGTACTCAGATCTGGTACTTGAGTAAAAGTAGAAGTACTCAGATCTAGTACTTGAGTAAAAGTAGAAGTACTCAGATCTAGTACTTGAGTAAAAGTAGAAGTACTCAGATCTAGTACTTGAGTAAAAGTAGAAGTACTCAGATCTAGTACTTGAGTAAAAGTAGAAGTACTCAGACCGTGTACTTGAGTAAAAGTAGAAGTACTCAGATCTTGTACTTGAGTAAAAGTAGAAGTACTCAGATCTAGTACTTGAGTAAAAGTAGAAGTACTCAGATCTAGTACTTGAGTAAAAGTAGAAGTACTCAGATCTAGTACTTGAGTAAAAGTAGAAGTACTCAGATCTAGTACTTGAGTAAAAGTAGAAGTACTCAGATCTAGTACTTGAGTAAAAGTAGAAGTACTCAGATCTGGTACTTGAGTAAAAGTAGAAGTACTCAGATCTAGTACTTGAGTAAAAGTAGAAGTACTCAGATCTGGTACTTGAGTAAAAGTAGAAGTACTCAGATCTAGTACTTGAGTAAAAGTAGAAGAACTCAGATCTTGTTCTTGAGTAAAAGTAGAAGTACTCAGATCTTGTTCTTGAGTAAAAGTAGAAGTACTCAGATCTAGTACTTGAGTAAAAGTAGAAGTACTCAGATCTAGTACTTGAGTAAAAGTAGAAGTACTCAGATCTAGTACTTGAGTAAAAGTAGAAGTACTCAGATCTAGTACTTGAGTAAAAGTAGAAGTACTCAGATCTAGTACTTGAGTAAAAGTAGAAGTACTCAGATCTAGTACTTGAGTAAAAGTAGAAGTACTCAGATCTAGTACTTGAGTACAAGTAGAAGTACTCAGATCTAGTACTTGAGTAAAAGTAGAAGTACTCAGATCTAGTACTTGAGTAAAAGTAGAAGTACTCAGATCTAGTACTTGAGTAAAAGTAGAAGTACTCAGATCTAGTACTTGAGTAAAAGTAGAAGTACTCAGATCTTGTACTTGAGTAAAAGTAGAAGTACTCAGATCTAGTACTTGAGTAAAAGTAGAAGTACTCAGATCTAGTACTTAGTAAAGTAGAAGTACTCAGATCTAGTACTTGAGTAAAAGTAGAAGTACTCAGATCTGGTACTTGAGTAAAAGTAGAAGTACTCAGATCTAGTACTTGAGTAAAGTAGAAGTACTCAGATCTAGTACTTGAGTAAAAGTAGAAGTACTCAGATCTAGTACTTGAGTAAAAGTAGAAGTACTCAGATCTAGTACTTGAGTAAAAGTAGAAGTACTCAGATCTAGTACTTGAGTAAAGTAGAAGTACTCAGATCTTCAGTAAAAGTAGAATACTCAATCTAGTACTTGAGTAATAGAAGTACTCAGATCTACTTGAGTAAAAGTAGAAGTACTCAGATCTAGGTACTTGAGTAAAGTAGAAGTACTCAGATCTAGTACTTGAGTAAAAGTAGAAGTACTCAGATCTAGTACTTGAGTAAAAGTAGAAGTACTCAGATCTAGTACTTGAGTAAAAGTAGAAGTACTCAGATCTAGTACTTGAGTAAAAGTAGAAGTACTCAGATCTAGTACTTGAGTAAAAGTAGAAGTACTCAGATCTAGTACTTGAGTAAAAGTAGAAGTACTCAGATCTAGTACTTGAGTAAAAGTAGAAGTACTCAGATCTACTTGAGTAAAAGTAGAAGTACTCAGATCTAGTACTTGAGTAAAAGTAGAAGTACTCAGATCTAGTACTTGAGTAAAAGTAGAAGTACTCAGATAGTACTTGAGTAAAAGTAGAAGTACTCAGATCTAGTACTTGAGTAAAAGTAGAAGTACTCAGATCTAGTACTTGAGTAAAAGTAGAAGTACTCAGATCTAGTACTTGAGTAAAAGTAGAAGTACTCAGATCTTACTTGAGTAAAAGTAGAAGTACTCAGATCTTACTTGAGTAAAAGTAGAAGTACTCAGATCTAGTACTTGAGTAAAAGTAGAAGTACTCAGATCTAGTACTTGAGTAAAGTAGAAGTACTCAGATCTAGTACTTGAGTAAAAGTAGAAGTACTCAGATCTTGTACTTGAGTAAAAGTAGAAGTACTCAGATCTAGTACTTGAGTAAAAGTAGAAGTACTCAGATCTAGTACTTGAGTAAAAGTAGAAGTACTCAGATCTTGTACTTGAGTAAAAGTAGAAGTACTCAGATCTTGTACTTGAGTAAAAGTAGAAGTACTCAGATCTTCAGTAAAAGTAGAAGTACTCAGATCTAGTACTTGAGTAAAAGTAGAAGTACTCAGATCTAGTACTTGAGTAAAAGTAGAAGTACTCAGATCTAGTACTTCAGTAAAAGTAGAAGTACTCAGATCTAGTACTTGAGTAAAAGTAGAAGTACTCAGATCTAGTACTTGAGTAAAAGTAGAAGTACTCAGATCTAGTACTTGAGTAAAAGTAGAAGTACTCAGATCTTGTACTTGAGTAAAAGTAGAAGTACTCAGATCTTCAGTAAAAGTAGAAGTACTCAGATCTAGTACTTGAGTAAAAGTAGAAGTACTCAGATCTAGTACTTGAGTAAAAGTAGAAGTACCAGAGTGTACTGTAGGGAATACTCGGTTACAGTAAAAGTCCTGCATTCAAAATGTTCCTCAACCAGAAAAGTATTATCATCAAAATATAGTGAAAGTAGCGACAGTAAAAGTAGTCATTGTGCAGATTGGTCCATTTCAGAATATTAGATATATTATTTGTGTTATAATGATTGATCATTAAAGTGTTATCAAAGCTGGATTTTAGTATGTTCGATAGTGTTTTCTGACTTTTGTATATTTTTACATTGTGCATTTCTACATAAATACCCCATAGATATAGATATCTTTCTGTATATGTGTGTATTTAGTGTGCAATGCCTGTTTCCATGCTATAACAAAGAAAACGTTCCCAAGATTTGGATTTAAAAAAGTATATCTGATCTAATATCAAGTATCTACAGTAAATGCTCTTGGGGACATTGCAGCACTAAAGGCGTGTTTGTCGTCCAGAACAAAGACAATCCACAAGTGTTCTTACCGTTCAGAGAGAGACTCCTCTTCCTCCTCTTCCTCCTCAGGTAACTGCTCTCAGGTGAGACACTGAAGCACGTGCACTCACACAGCTCCCTGAAGATGGGTTTTCTTTTCCGCTCAAACTCTCTGCAGACTTTCCTCAGATGGAAGTTGAATTCTTCCAGAAGTCTGGAGCAATCCTCACAGAAACCCGAAGCCATGACCGTTTCTCCTGCAGAGAAGAAAGAAGGCACCTGTGCCGCGTGACGCAGAGCTGCAGGGAGACACGCCCACTGTGACGTCAGGTCTCAAAATACATATATGAACAAATGAAAAACAGATATTAAAATATAAAATAAAAAGATGTTCGTAGTGATGGGAATTACGGCTCTTTGAAAGGAGCCGGATCTTGGTTTTTTTAAGGGGGCGGGGTTAATAGGTTTATCTGCGAAATAATCACCAGGATAATGATTGACTGTTTTGCCAGAAATCTAATTTTACTCACAGAACATGTATAACTTGCTTAATCTCTCAGCCAGCCAAACTACTACTCAAGCAGCATGCGTTATGCCATCATCTATGGAAAATGTGCATTCAGGAAAGTTCCTTTAAAGCAGTGGCGGTTCTAGACCAATTTGACTGGGGGGCCAGGCTGGGGCCAGTTATTTTCTGAGGGGGGCCCAATAAATGCAGGACGAAAAAGACAGTATGAAGTAATTGCGCATAAGAAAACAAAACAATACAGTTATTGGTATTTGTTTCATTACACATATTTATTTCAGATATTTATAGTTACAGTTTTTACGCTCTAATGCAGGGGTCTCCAACCTTTTTTTAGGATGAGAGCTACTTTCAAAATATAAAACAAGTCGTGAGCTTGTCATCAATTGTCATCATTTATATTCTCTGTAATTTGTCACATGGCTATTTGACAGATGTACGTGAAGAAAACAGAAATCAACCTCATAGACACATTTCTGAATTAAAACTGTTGCTTATTTAAACACAAGATATGTACAAATACTACACTTACTTGTACAGCTATAATTACCTTTAGGTTAATTAGAAATGTATGTTAGGCCCAGGTCTAGGGGAACCTAGGCGCAGCAATAACATTTTTCTAAAACTTGCCTAACCAAAAGGAATAAAGTACAGGCTTCTCACCTACTCTTATCAGTAAACAAAAAGAACAGGTTCAAACAAAAAGAGGGTTTCTCACTCCTAAACAAAGCGTGTCCTCGAGACAGGTCAAATTAGCTTAGCAATGTACACAAAGGGTTCGGTAACGGTCACTTTAATAACACAGGCAACAGACCAGCTCTTCTACTGACATAGAGTTGGGAGTAGGAGAGGTCGAGTGAAAGAGAAGTTAGAAGTTAAACTGATAACGTATACTGCTATACGTGATGTTTGACTCGAAACTAGATCAAGGAGAACTGACAGCTTTGATTCTTAGTTTGGTTGATGTCATGAAGTTTCAGCACGATATACAGGACTTCTTACATTTCTTCAAGAATTCACACAAAACTTAATCAAACATTCTCATTTCATCCATTACAAAGAAAAACAGAAAATAAATTCATTCCATTCAAAAATTCTTGGATTAAAAATGTGAACATTCATCGATCATGAAATGAGTCAAATGAAAACTATAAACACACTGTAATAAAGTTTGATGCAAAATAAACTCCAAAGAGATGTAGACGGAGAGTGAAGTCAGAATAAAGTCTGAACCAACACTCCTGAGCATCACAGAGGAATCTCACGTCGACAGATTTTGATATCAGCAGTTTTAGCATCACCAGCTTTTCCAATACTGAAATATGGGAAGAGTTTCTCAGTGAAAGTGTCTC